TGGCAGAAATTCCTTATGTAACCAAGCATATTATTGAAAGGGCGAGGGCTAGGCCCTCCATCTTGCCCCAGGGTAAGGGCTAGGCCCTCCATCTTGCCCCAGGGTAAGGGCTAGGCCCTCCATCTTGCCCCAGGGTAAGGGCTACGTCCTACATCTTACCTTGGCCATGTGCTTGGCAAGGAGCTTCTTCCCGGAAGTCTAAGACTCTGCTAGCCACACCCAGGAACAAGACACCGACTTGCGCCTGGCCAATCGGCAGAGCACAGTTCTTTCTCCTCCCCTTACTCCAACCCGCCCTATAAAACCCGTCTCTACACAGGGTTCTCTCTCTCTCGGTCACTTGGCTTGCCATTGTGTCGGTAAGTCTGGTGGACGGGGAGCTCAAGCTAGCTTGAAATACAGACTCTTATGCTTTTGCATCGGACTGGCTGGCTCCCTGATGTTGGTTTCTTGGGGATCTTGAAATCTGGGCATAACAATTATATTTTGAAATATTGCACTCGGGAAAAACTGTCAAATACATATCTAATTAAAAAATTTTCAACACTTAAAAACAGTTCTCAACATAATGGGATCTAGTCTTGACCATGGAATCAATTACTCTTAATTTGTTTATGATTATATATATATATATATATATATATATATATATATATATATAAAACTGTGGTTCTTCTGAGAATTTAAGATATCTTCTAAAAATGTCTCTATCTCCAAGCCTTTTAAGAAATACGAGCTCTATTGTCGGCCCTTATAAAGCCAACTGCTCAAAACATTGGTCTATCATACCACTAGAATTATATTAAGACTGTGATTGCTAATTTATTAAGCATTAAAGATATCTTCTTAAAAATAGTATTAAATAAATCCGAGAGGCAAGCACACTTTCTGCCCCATCTGCATTTCTCTAGTAAAATTCCGCCTTAAAACTCCACCCCTGAAATCCTATCCTGCCTCAGTGAGCAGACATTCCTTTTGTGATTGGCTAAGTCAGAGGGAGGGGCCTTTGCTGTTTCTAGATGGCGGCCCCCAGGGGAGCGGCAGGCCATGCGGCTAACATGGCGGCTGCCAAGTCACGCAGCTCAACATTGTGGCTGTCTAAACTGTTCTCTGACAGAAAAGATGATTTCCTTATTCTCACAATAAACAAGGGAAGAGCAAACCAAAATCCCTAAAAGACAGATGGCCAACATTATATTGCAGACAAACAGAAATCTTATTAGCTGTTTATACCTTTTATAATTATCTTAAAGAATATCAATTAAATTTAAACTGGTTTTTGTATTAAAAATTCAGTTGAGATCTTAAAATTAATCCTCTTTTTTAATCAGACCAATGAGTAACATATTTTGAATTCCTAATTATTTAAGAGAAAACACATTTTATTTTTTCAAAAACAAGTTATACATTAGATATTTAATTTCTCCCGATTCAATTTGCACTTTAAACTTTCAGAGCTTACAAGTCAAATATTAGCAGTTCTTTGATTAACTACATTTTTAAGAATAAATTTTAAAATCTAATAATTAACTTTAAACCATGTTTTTTCTGCCCCGGGAACTGAGAAGCGAACTTGTAGGTATTAAAAAATGACTACTGGTGGAAAGCTGATTTCAAAGGAGCCACCCCTTGGCCTGCTTGACCTTTTCTGGGAAGGTTGGCTAGCAAAAGGTGTAGCCATAGAAATGCAAATTAACATTCCTAAAGTTGGCTGCTGGCGGGAATTGGATTACCTACCTGCTAGGGGAAGGGCGTGTCTACCCCTCCCTCCATTAAAAAAGGGTGTAGCTTTAAACTTTTTAATGGCAAGAAAAGAGACCTTAAACTTTCAGAGCTTTAAATCTTAGGTAGCAAATTAAATACTTAGCATTTTTCAAATCAATACTTTTACATTTAAGGATACATTTCAAATAAAATATAAGGCATTTTCAATTAATAGATTAACTTCTATCATCTAGACTTCATACTAGGCATACTCAGATCAACATTTCAGTATTATAAATCTCAATACTTTTAGATGATTTGAACTTAAAAATTTTAAGTTTCCAGCCAATAAGCCTGGCATAGCTGCTAAATTTCAAAATGGTCACAATTTTCCTGCTGGGGAAGTCAAGAAGTAAACCCATAGCTATTCACATGTAAACTTGACTATCAACTTCCTGGTGGTACTTGCCTCAGGGCGGGAAATTTCAAAAGAGCTACTTTAAATCGCCTTGGGAAACCAGCCTGTATTTCTTTGTCAGGTTCATCTCCGCCATTTTTAAGGCCAAAACAGTCTCGGGTTTTTATTCTGTACACAGCAAAAGGTCAAGTTCAGCTCAAAACTATGTGCACTCGTTTTTAAACTGGTCTTTTCCCTTTACATGTGCACAGAAATCCTGGATGCATTTATGAATTTGTAAAAGCTTTTCAATTACAAGAAGGACTTTAAATTAGAATACTTGGGGAGGGGGAGTCCATATTGGATAGCCATGTGTTCCCTTCTTCCCTTCCCCCACATCGTGCTTTGGGGGAAGTTTCAGCAAATTACTCAGATGGCGTACTTTCCCCAAAGTCATGCTTAATAGAAAAAGACATTTTAAATTTTTTTCCTATTTCACTTACCGAAGCAATGGCTAGCACCCAAGGTAATCTTAGCCAAAGTTTGGTTGTCATAAGATGTTCTCCGGTAATTTTTAAATAAAACATTAAGTAATCTCATTGTAGGAGAGCTTATAGCTCTGCTCTCTCTTGCCACCTTTGAAACTCTCCACACCAGAGGCGGATTCGGTAGCGGGATTTCATTTCTTATTACAGATTTTAGATTCCAGATACAAATTAAGATTTTAATTTGGACAAGAAACCACATTAAGATGGCCATGGCACTCTTTTTTTTTTCAGCCTGATTTAAAAGCATACCTTTTAATATTCCAATTTCTTTATAATTTGGCCTTTTTGCACAGATAATTCTATTAATGGCAAATTAAACATTTCAGGATTAGGACATGGAGGTGGAGGGAGCCATGAAGGCCATTCCTCCCATTTTTTCTTTTCTTTCTGCTCCTCTTAAGGAGTGGAGGGTGCAAGGGGAGATCTATCCTCCTTGACCTCTCCTAAAGGCTCAAGCAAATGAAATACCGTTTTCCACAAGGGGAAACAATTTTTGGAGGCAATTTTTTCCTGCTGCTGACTTTTTTTTTTTTCAAGTTCTGATTAACTTTTTGGCAAATTTTTAAGATCTAATGTACCTTTTTCAAGAAACCAAGGGTTATGTTCTTTAATAACATGCAAAAACTGTAAGAGATTACCTTCTAAAATTTTAGCTCCTTAAGCATGCAAATCAATAGTCTATAATAAAGTTTTTTACTTTTTTAAAAGCCGAATCTACTTTTTTAAAGCCAAATCCTGCCCCATTAGCCTGGAGAAAGAAAACGTTCCCAGCCTACTTACAGCTGGTGACTTCTGAAGTTGATCCTGGGCATTGCCTGCGGTGAATTTCCCCCACCTTTTTTCGGTGAATTTTCCACACCTTTTCTAGGTGAATTCTTTCTTCCTCACCTTTTTCGGTGAAACTTCCTTTTTTTCCCTCTAGCGAGACCTTTACTTCCAGTTTTCTCGTTGGGCACCTGATGTTGGGTGTTTCCTTCCAACGTCCCGCGTGGGTCAGGGTTCAGGAACTGGAAGCAGAGCCGCACACAAATGAAAATGAAAAGACAAGAGATAATTTGGAAATATTGGGGGACCAGGCAAGTAAGTCCAACTCAAGGGGAAGGACTTCCTCCAGTGCTCAGGCCTCACCAAGCTTTTATTGATCTGGGATGCACCCCTAGCATAGCCCTTAGGCAGGCGACCCCATTAACAGGCAGACTAGCCCATCAGCAAGGATTTACATAATAATAAATGGGAGAGTAGTTTCAGCTACCACTGTCTGGACAAACAGAGGTGGCGCCTAACTCCAACCTTTGCAAGAGCTTCAAAGGCACCCAGCCTTGGGGGGGCGGGAGGTTCTCTGTCTATGCTTATCAGATAGTGAAGGCAATAAACAGTTTCCCACACAGCCTTTCCCTCTATTTCTCTCTCCATCTCATTTTTCATTCTTACTTTACCCTGGTTGCGATCTAATCAATATTCATGAACACCCCCCCCGCCCCCCCCCCCGCCCCCTCTTTCCGTGCTGGTCGTGGGAAGAGAGAACATACCTCCATAGAAAGTCATGGGGGGACAAGGTTCTACTGAAGGGAGAAGAACAAAGGAGCAGAGAGGTGACCCAGCTGAAGAGAGACCAGGGAGCCAAACCGGGCACAGCCCTGACCACACTCGGTCCTCACAGCCTCTCCTGTCCCCCTGCAACAGCCTCAGCACAGCAAACACACAAATTCTCAGTGCTTCCCTTTATTTCCTCTCAAATTTTAGGATCTTCTTTAATTCTTTTTTAAATGTTTTTATTGATTTTCCGAGAGAGGAAAGAGGAGGGAGAGGCAGACTGAAACATCAATGATGAAAGAGAATCACCATTGGCTGTCCCTTGCATGACCCCGGTAAGAACTGAGCTGAAATCTGGGCATTTGCCCTGAAAGGGAATCCAACCATGACCTCCTGGTTCCTGGGTAGACACTCAACTACTGAGGCACAACAGTGGGCTTTTCTCCTTTAATAAACCCATCATCCCTTCATGGCAAGAAGTGAAGAAGAATGCAAATCCAGACTCCTATTTCAATCAGGCAGTAAGAAGCTGCAGCTGAGCGCACCAGGAAGTAAAAACGAATGGGGAGGGCCCAGCCCCACCTCTACTGGACAGGAAAGGCTGGGGAGGGGGTGTAGTGGGCAGGGGTGGGCCATCCTCCCACCTCCTCTCGTTATGCTGATAGGAACACACACATTTAGATGCCATTTGCAGAAAGAAATCAGAGGTTCCTGAATCACAAAGTGGGAGCGTGAACAAATCTCCCATCACTCAGTCCCCACCAACTGCCTCGCGCTGTGGAAGAAAATGATCATGAAAAAATTTAGTTCAGTGGCTGTAAGTAATGACCTTCTCAACAGCCCACCGCAGGCTCACTATGTCCCAAAGAATCCCCATCATCCAGTCCTCTCCCTTTCGCCCCAACCCCTGCTATCATCAGACTCTCACCATTAGAAGCCATGAGAGATACATCAGAGCCCGGGGCACTATCATTGCCTGGGGTAGAACAAAACAGGGCGAGTTAAGAGCCCCCAGGAGAGAAGACTAAAGGAGGAATTATGGGGGTGAGGCCCCCCATGGGATCCAGTCTGTACTATCACAGGATCTCAGGGGTCACACTCAATACTCACTGGCAGCCTGGGCATAGCTCCCTCCTTGTCCACCTGTGGGAAGAAAACATCCTGTGAGAAGACAGGGAGGAGGCAGGGCCATGAGGTCCTAAAGGAACTCCTAGTCCTGGAGCTCAGAGAAGTTTCCAGATCTGTGACTACTGACCCAGGGCAGGATCAGGAAACCTGAGGAAACTACACGTGAGGGGAATGGACCAACCACCCTCCTGGAGGTCTGTCCTCAGCAGGGACCTTCCTCCCTGACCTGGGAGTGCTGGGAACCAGGCCCCATGACTAGAATCATCAGGTGATGAATCTGTGCCTCATTTCCACACGTGTCTGACGAAAGAGTGAGTGTCAGCAAATAGGGCCCCATACTGGGCAACCACACGTGTGGGGATGGTACTTGCCATTAATGAAGCAGATCACACTTCTACCTGGGCTTGCACCTCCCAGTGAGACAAGAAACTCAGGCCCTACCCCTTCCCTACCTGAGCGCTTCCTCCTCCACATCACAGCTCCAGTGACCACAGCTCCAAGGATGACCAGGCCCACAACCAGGCCCACAGGGGGGAAGGTGGCCCAAGGAGGCGGCTCTGGGAAGGGAAGGGGAGGTGAGGGCCCTGCCCGGCTGGCCTCAGCCCCGACCCCACTGAAGTCCTCCACAGGCCCCTGCTTCCCTGAGAACAGGCTCTGTGCCCAGGCCCCTTCTCACCCCATCTCAGGGTCAGGGGCTCGGGCAGCCCCTCGTGCTGCACATGGCACGTGTATCTCTGCTCCTCTCCAGGGGGCACCACCAGGGCCGCCCACTTCTGGAAGGTCCCATCCCCCGCAGGCCTGGTCTCCACCAGCTCCATGTCCTGGGTCTGCTCCTCCCCATCACGCTGCCAGCTCAGGCTGATGTCCGCAGGGTAGAAGCCCAGGGCCCAGCACCTCAGGGTGACCTCACAGTCAGAGATGGGGTGGTGGGTCACGTGTGTCTTTGGAGGGTCTGAGGAGAAGGGTGAGGAAATTCAGGAACTTGGCACTGTCAGGGGACCCTCCAGCAGCTCTCATGTGACCACCTGAGCGTGGACAGGGCACCTGGGGTGGGCGAGGGAGCACACAAGCACCACCAGCCTGGACAGAGCATCTGGGGATGACCTCTCCTCTTTAAAAAGTTCTAGTCAGAGTGACACAGCCCAGGGCGGGAGGCAGGTCTCAGGGGGAGAAAGGGATTTCTGGTCCTGTCCTGGGTGGAGGCCAAAGGACTCAGAAAAGTTGCTGTCAGACCTCAGATACACTGGGTGAGGGGCAGGGAGCAGGGCCTGAGAGAGCAAGTCCCCATGGGTCCCAGAGCCACTGCAGGGTCAATGGGAACCACTGCTCAGTTACTTCAGGCTTGGTCTCCCCTCTAATTGTCCCTGAGAGACTGCACCCCTCGGTGTCCCTGAGAGAAGGGAGGGCGTCAGTGGATCTGAAAAGCCAGGCGGACTCAGACTCCTGGCCCACAGGAGGGGTGTCTGACACTGACCCTGTGTCCTGTCTCCTTGTTGAGCCCCAGCCCCAGGGGAGAGGAGGGAGGCCCCAGGCCCCTGGTACCTGCGCGCTGCAGCACCTCCTTCCCCAGCGCCAGGAATCTGTGTAGCAACTCCAGGCACCTGCCCTCCAGGAAGTTCCTGTATCGCTCAGCCAGACCGTACTCCTCCCACTTGCGCCAGGTGATCTGAGCTGCAGTGTCGGCCGCGGTCCAGGAGCGCAGGTCCTCGTTCAGGGCGATGTAGTCGGTGCCATCATAAGCGAACTGGTCATAACCGCGGAGGAGGCGGCCGTCGGGTCCCATGTCACAGCCATACATCCACTGATAGGTGTGAGACCCTGACCCGCCCCGAGGTCAGTGTCGCCCACTGAGCCCCGCCCCCGCCCCGCCCGCGGGGGATTTAAACAGAAACTGAAAAGTGAAAACCGGGTCCAGGGTCCCCGCGCGCTCCTCCCGGGTGTGTCTATGGGGGGTGAAGCTCGCACTCGGACACTCGGGGCGACCCCGGTCGGTCCGTGGGGATGGGGGTGGTGACCGGCCCCGGGCCCCGTGGCTCACCGTCCTCGCTCTGGTTGTAGTAGCCGCGCAGGTTGTGCAGGCTCTCTCGGAAAATCTGTGCGTCCCTCTTGGCGTTCCCGGTGCTCATGTTCCAATAGCCCGGCTCCTCCTGCTCCATTCCTTGCGCCCGCGGTTCCCGCCCTCTGACTTCTCGGGAGTCGGCTTGTCGAACCCCCTCGAAAGGGTAGGGCCGTCCCACGTAGCCCGACCCTCCAGGTACCGGGGCCTCCCCCGCGGCCGGGCCGGGGACACGGGCGGTTTGGGAAAATATCTCAGGGAAGTGGGGGCCCTGGGGGCCGGGAACCGGAGGGGCTTGACACCCCGGGGTCCGGGTCCTGAGGGAACAGGAGGAGAAAGGGCCCCGGGAGAACTGGAACAAGGGCCAGCTGGACGAAAAGAAGAGGGTTCAAGAACCGGTGGGGGTCTTGGGGTGTGGGGTGTGGGCCGGGGG